GCACACTCAGTAATGGAGGCGCCACAGCTCTTTAAGAATCAAAGGAAAGGGGCGGAGTCAGGGAGGAAGTCTCTACCTGAAAATACAGGTGTGCACCACAATCAAAGCCCGGCTCGCTAAAATACTGACTCGCTCCTCTAAACACAGGGCGCGACAGCCAGGGTGTGTGTGTGTGTGTGTGTGTGTGTGTGTGTGTGTGTGTGTGTGTGCGTGCCGGTAGGATTTGTGGATTTCCAGCACAGAGGAAATGCGGCATTGAGCAGCTGTGTTTTTGGGAATTTAAGGAAAGGAAGTTAGCATTAGCATTAGCCAGAAGTGCTGACCCTGTGAACACTGAGACATGAAGTAGTTTTAGAAAATCGTACACGTTACAGCAGAGACACTTCACACACACACACACACACACACACACACACACGGTATGTCCCTATTTATGCATATAGTCTGTCTGTATTTAACAGAGATAGACAGAGAGCCGGTTTAGGATTGAGACTGAGGGAAAATGGCAATGATGGGAAACTAGTGCACATCTCACACGTGTAAATAAAACTCCTGATGAAGCCCAGGCTGTGTGTGTGTGTGTGTGTGTGTGTGTGTGTGTGTGTGTGTTTTCCAGAGACTGTTAATCCCACGGTGTCGGGGTTAAACATCTCTGAGTAAAGCCGCAGTCACACACACGCTCATGACGAGACAGAAAACGGGAAAAGCGCCGCCATTTTGTTTGCAATTTTATTCTCAAGTTGAAAAACGAATTCTACTTTTTCACCTTTAGTAATAAAAGTTGACTTTATGGAATTAATTTAGTGCCACGTCATCACGTCCTGCTAATCTCTCCCAGTTACTAACACGGAGTCGATCCCGGGAACACGGAGCGCGAGGACGGAGTACACCCAGTCCATCTCCGCACACCGTCAAGCAAACTGTCATTCAGCAAGACACAGACTGAAGACGTTCACGTGCGAATTAACACAAAAGAAACAGATGTAACAGGTCTTACCTGAGCACAGGTGTGACTCGGACACCGCAGTCAGATTCACCACTTTAGCAAACCTGTCAGTGTTTGTGTCGTAAAACAGCAGTAAAAGACTGATGTCTAATTATCAGAAGTGTTAGACTGCAGGTGTTAAAGTTTTTCATTTTAAAGATTTAAAATCATTTTAAATGAATAAGATTAATCACATCACTGCTACTGTTACATTAAACACTGACTCACTGACCCACAAATCCATCTGTGGCATCAAAGACTGCAGTTATTTTTCTACACAGCACTTCAACAGATTTACTATTATTATTATTATTATTATTATTATTATTATTAGTATACAGACAAACAGACAGATAGACAGATAGAAATACACAGTGGGGTCCAAAAGTCTGAGATCACATTGAAAATCTGAAATTTTGTTTTTCATTTAAAATGGAAATAAACAGAAAGTTAGAATTTTGAATATTTAAGAGTCTGCACTATTTCTAGCTCCCTGTTTATATGTAAGCACATGTGTGATATTAACTGCTTTGTACAGAAGGTCAGATTTTCCTCATGTCTAATCTCTTCTACTGAAGATCAGACGACACGCCGATGGATCTGATCTGAAATGGATCATAAGATTCTACACAAACGTGTGGAGTCCACGCCGGCTCGAGTCACACCGTCATTAAAGCGAAAAGGCGGCGTACTGAATAATGAGCAACTTGATAATAAAAAAACACGTCTTACATGAAGACGTTCATGTAAATATTTGTAAGATTCTACTTTTACTTTTTTCTTTTTTTAAGTTGTTGTCAATAATATAATTTGTAATGAAAATTGTTGTTTTAAATTGGAAAAGAATGCAAAATATAAGCATTTTCACTACTGCTCTCAGGCATACGGCACAGGCACACGGCACCGGCACACGGCACCGGCACACGGCACCGGCACACGGCACCGGCACACGGCACCGGCACACGGCACCGGCACACGGCACCGGCACACGGCACCGGCACACGGCACCGGCACACGGCACCGGCACACGGCACCGGCACACGGCACCGGCACACGGCACCGGCACACGGCAC